CAAAAGTTAGATGGTTCTTCGATAGCGGACTAGTCTTCCTGCAGACGGTCATTTTCCTAACTCTACGTACAATCTATGGGACAATCAGAGGGGGGAGGGAGTAACTTTGGACCGGTCCGCTAGCGCTCAGAGAAAATACGTATTAAAAAGATTAATGGAAGTTCAAGAACAAGGTCTGATCTTTCGAAAAAATTATATTTTATCAAAAGTTAGATGGTTCTTCGATAGCGGACTAGTCTTCCTGCAGACGGTCATTTTCCTAACTCTATACGTGTACAACCTATAGGAAAATCGGAGGGGGGGGGGTAACTTTGGATCGGTCCGCTAGTGCTCACAGAAAATACCTATTGAAGAGATTAATGGAGGTTCAAGAACAAGGTCTCATCTTTCGAAAAAATGATATTTTATCAAAAGTTAGGTGGTTCTTCGATGGTAGACTAGTCTTCTTGCAGACGGTCATTTTCCTAACCCTATACGTGTACAACATATGGAAAATTGGAGCGGGGGGGGGGGGGGTAACTTTGGATCGGTCCGCTAGCGCTCAGAGAAAATACGTATTAAAGAGATTAATGGAAGTTCAAGAACAAGGTCTGATCTTTCGAAAAAATAATATTTTATCAAAAGTTAGATGGTTCTTTGGTAGCGGACTAGTCTTCCTGCAGACGGTCATTTTCCTAACTCTACGTGTACAACCTATGGGACAATCGGAGGGGGGGGGGGGGAGGGGTAACTTTCGATCGGTCCGCTAGAGCTCAGAGAAAATACGTATTAAAGAGATTAATGGAGGTTCAAAAACAAGGTTTAATCTTTCGAAAAAACGAAAGAAGACTAGGCCGCTATGGTCGTAGCGATCTTACCTTTTAATGAAATATCAGTTTTCGATATAATATTATTTATTTATATTAGATTAGACCTTGAGCAGATTATAGACCCTCGATCCCCTTCTCAAATAATTACCCTGTATATTAAACATATGATGGGGGGGGGGGGGGACGACCGTCTGTAAAGAGAATAGCTCGCTATTGCTGTACAACTTTAAATGAATTATCATGAAATTAAGCGAATTTTGATGCTTGTTGATATCGGTTGTAATTCGAAAATGCTATCGCTCAAGACAGCTATCTTGAAGGAACTGAATTGCTTAAAACTGGAGAGCATGCGGGAGCTCGCTCTCGGACCCCCAGCAGGGGTTATGCCTGTGATATACCCTCCAGGGCTCTAAGGCAGGGCCCTGGACCCCACCCAAAGGGCTCGTGCTAATTAAGACAGCTATCTTGAAAGTTCTGAATTACTAAAACTCGAGAGCTTCTTGGCTCTCTGCTCCCTGGACCCCCGGAATGGGCTCTAGCTGCCCCTGCACCCAGTACACCCGGACATAGCTCAGAGCGGAGCTTCTCAAAGTCCGGACCGCCCGGGTGTCCCTGTTTTTTTGTTTTTTTTTACATTAAAAGAGAACCCACACAGGCCCTCTATCATTTGATACAAAATGTGCAAATGGTGCCATATGTAGCGTCAAAAATCGTCGCGCTGCACACAGCTAAAATTAACATTAATTTATCCCATATTATGTTCTGTAAACAATAGAGAATTGTCACTCCGCATATAATGTTAATTTGTATGAATTAATAAACCATTTGAGACATAGATATGAAATTTAATGGACTTATTCTTTCAGTTTTAGTCAAAGAATTCTCATCATTCCATGGCCGAGATACAATACCCTTGGATCAGATATAAACATTTTAGACGTTTTAAACAAGGCTCATTTTCTTCAGTTTATAATTTCCAGTACTGTAAGTTTTAGGAGTAGATTGTCTGAACATTTGTGCATCATGGCGATGCTTTCGTCTTGCAATCACTCAATTTGTGCCAAAGTTTACTGGTTTAAGTAGCTTACATGCCGTAAACTAATGTAATTTCCCCCTTTGGTATTAGCTACGTACCAGTTTGACTGTCTTCACTCTTGAAGTATTTATAAAATCACAAAGTTATGTGTATGAAAGCAATTGATTTTAAAAAAAAATTGCCCATTTTTTAGGACTTTTTTACAGAATCACATCTTGACATTTAAGTAATAAGTTTGAGAACCACTTGCCTGGCTTACAGTTTGTATCGCTCTAGACGGCTATTTTGCAGGTTAATATTTGCTCGACCCCGAGCGCGGCCGGGGGCTAACACATCCTGAACCCCACACTATACACGAATCCGATATCGCCCCAAGCTCCATCTCCAACGTTAGCGGCGCTATGTCCCGGGGGGGGGGGGGGGGGGTACTCAGATTTAGTTTGGACTGAGGGGGGGGGGGCGGCTGAAGCGTCTAAACCCATGTCCATTAAGAGTCATCTTGGCAGAAAATAGTACCCATTATTAGGGACTTCCATTCAAAACGCAACCCATGTTAAAAGGATTGCCGTATTTCATTGCATGAATGATATACACTTTCACGTACTATAACCCCAAAAGTGCCATTTTAAAGTAAGAAAGTGCCCCTTCCCCTTTTAATAACTTTCTTTTCTAATAAGAGCCACTTCTCCATTCCCATAAAAGCCCCTTCAAATCTGATCGGTGCCCTTTTTCTTTCAACTAATGCACATTTTTCTTTATTATAAGTTCCCCTTTCTCATTCTCATAAGTACCCCCTTTCAAATGCGATAACCTATTTCACCTCTGATTATTTCCCTTTTAACAATGATACGTGCCCCTTTTCTTTTTAATCGATCTATCCCCTTTTCATAAATGCCCCTATCAAAATCTGATGGATGCCCCATTTCCTTCAACAAAATAATGCCTAGTACCATTCTCATAAGTGCCTTATTTCATCCCTTGTGAGTGCCTCTTTTCAGTTATAAGAAGTGCCCCATGTTCACCTCTTATTATGTACTTAAACACGTGCTCCTTTTCTTTTCTAATAGGTGTCTAATCCCTTTCGATAAGTGTCCCTTTTCCCTCTCATCATTAAACGTGCCTCTAAAGCGACTAATATCAATTTCACCCAAAGCTCGCTCGTTACACTCACTCGCATTTATAGATGATATAATTATGTAACTTATCAAAGGCCTTTACCGTCTTCCGTTTTGAGAATGTGCTTATAACCCCATCAGGATTGTGTTTTTTTCTTCTCTTTTTAAGATGTATTTTTTCGCACTGTGACCGATCAAGTCCTAAAATGTTTCCTCGCTCGCTCGCAAATGATTGTTCAGACCATCACACCCAACTGCAAAGTATGATGCTTAAAGGGATAGTTGAGTTCTGTTGCAGAGGGCGCTACACAAAATAATTTTTTTGAGAGATTATGAAAAACTGAGTGTCAAATTTGAAGAACATAATATTTAAATGACAAAATCATCTTTGTTTGATCAAAATCGGTTCAGAGAGGCGGCTGAAATATAACGATTTCTAATATTTGTGTACCACCACAAATATTAAATATTTTGAAAAATTTGAAAAAACCATTGAAAAAAACGAAATAACGCCTTTTAAGTCGTATTTCGCTAATGCCGATGTTGGCTTTTTGTTGGCATTTTCGTGTTGCTTATATTACCCACAATAAGCCGGCTCACGTATTGTTATTTTTAATTAAATAATTAATTAACGGTCGCCGTGTTTTTTTTTAAAGTAGAGCTGAATTGGTATGATCGTATTGGCTAAATTTCAGACATTTGAGGTCTAAAATTACCTTCATAGCAATTTTAGGTTCTAAGAGGGCACTATAAATGTCATAGATAAGAATAGGTGCAATAACCATGCACTTGAAGGCATTTGCGGTCTGAAAACAGAACTCAACTATCCCTTTAAGCAATTTCTGGTATGATATATAAATAGAAACAAATATTGAAAGCATCCCAGATAATGTGATAATGTGGTGGTTATTTTACCTAACAGCTAAGAAAGCAATAAATGCTTGTTAATAAGCAACCAGAAGACCGACGGCTTAAGGTCCTCTCCGAGGGACCTGGTAATGAGGATGAATGCCTTACCAAAGGGCATTAGCACATCGACATTGTTTCGAACCCGGGTCACCGGATAACGAGACCACTGCTCTACCGACTGAGCTATCGCGCCTCCTCAATGTAGGGATATAAACCAATGTCTAAAAAAACTTATACTTTCGCTTTGAGATTTCCCTTTGTAGGTGCCCTTTTTTCAAGAAAGTGCCCTTTTTGTTGCCCCCCCCCCCCCACTTTGGAAGTCGCTCCGCCGCCCCTGCTTCCTATTGTGCTCCAGCCTCTTTAGCTTTTTTTTATAATTTAAAACCAATCAGTTTGTAACAATTATGTAGCAAATTGGAAAAGAACTTGTGGGAAAAATCAACTAAAAAGCAAACTGAGCAGCACCCAGGACCCGTACATCTCGAAAGTGCTCTCTTAATCTTGAATTTATTAGTATGAAACCCCACAGAATTTTCTTTTGCGTACGCTCGAGGAGTGGGTGGGATTACCTGTTTATGTCAGAAGCGATGAAAAAGCGAAATAATTTCAAATTGTCATTTTAGCGAGATTATGGGTGAGATATTATCCTGAAAAAATTGGAACCAAAGTGAGGGCACTTTTGGGGATTTTGCATCACAAAATTACACCCCATGTTAAGGATTTTTTTTGCAAAAAAGTAACCCATTAAAGCAGCACAACTCCTTATACCGTATTAAGTGAGTACCCCCCCCCCCCCAGGCGCTATGTCCGTTCGCCATTACTGAGGGGGGGGGGGGGGACTCCCCTGTACACGAAACCCACGCATCGCCTACAACAGCGTACGTTCGTTACAGTATCTTTTCGAATCGCTCGATATTAGCTTCTATTTTTGCATCTTGTAGATAGAATAAAGCGCTTGGGCACTGAGGGATATCGTAACTTGAAAGGATTTCAGGCTGATGGGGTCACTCCACGTCTCCACCTGTGGCTGCCTTCATAAATCTTTATATGAAGGAGTTTCGTCTAACAATAAATCCAACTGTTGTTATTCACAAGGCACACCGATGAAAATTAACACTGGAAACAATTTGCTAAAGTCCAACCAACTTCTGTTTTATTCAGCAACTCGTAACTTCACTTTCATATCTTCGGTACAACCTTCAGGTTAATTACTATCTCCGGTAAACCTTCAGATAACAATCTGTAATGATAATAAACAAACAAACAAATAATGAATAAATGTTTCAGCATGTAAGCATATAAAAACCCTATAGCTAAATTAAAGATACTGATTACAACACATTAATATATGACGCAAGATTAAAGTTAAACTGGATTAAATATCTATGTGAACACACCCTGCATTGAAACTATGCAGTAAACTATTAAACAGTACACACAAGCAAAGGTACATGAGTGTGAACAGGGCCGCATTCAGATGCGGTTCGTCACTTAAGTTCCTGTGCTAAATAACTAACAAAGAAAATTGTTTCTTTCCTAAACACTTAGTTTTGCTCTAAATTCGACATGAACTATATATAATAAACAAGTTATCATCTACATAGTAGCAGAATATTTGCTACTTTGAAACACTAAAATGTACTGTAACTTCTGCTTACAAAGACAAAGAACTCGGCTTTCTACACTATACATTATACACACTCATCTCTTTGTCTACTCCTAAAAGCTAGGTACAACATCTAACATCATCTTTACGAAACTCCTATAAAATTCTACCAAACTCAACTGAGATTATATTAAGATACATCCTAGCATTCTAGTATATATCAAATAACATATATAGAAATAGATATCGTATTCTTACCGAATTGGGCCTGTAGTTTGTTCCACAAAATAACTAAAAACTTTCTGCTGCAATGTTATGTAACTCGGACCTTACTGCATCACTTCGACATTCAGAATGACTGGGGTTTGCTTCTCCCAGAACATAGGTGGAGAAGAACAAAGAACTTCCTGTCTCTGTGACTAGTAGTATAATCTTAAAGTAAACAATAGCCCCCAAGATATGCTGGTAGGCATATTAAGACACTGGTAGTCTCATAATAAGACTCTTCAAACTATATAAGAAATGCACATTTCTTCACTACATACTGATGTAGTGACATGGCTCCTTTAAATGTTAGTAACATTTACTAAAATAACTGTTAATATCCAAATTTAAGACTACGCTACAACATAGATAGACATACTGCACTACTATTACTACCAAGGAACAACATTAACCTCTAACGATCTTTCATGTAACATTCATGAACATTAAGAGAAATCAACTTTACCCATCAATGCTCCAAATACTGCTTGATTGGTAAACAATCCCAATTAGTGTAATACACAAAGTTAAACTTAGATGTATATCAAGTATACTTAATCAACCCCTTCCGTTGATAACCACATGAATACATGATCATATGTATTGTAAATTAGTAAACACATTAAATGAAGACACTCCTGACATCAGGAACATATTATACAACAATAAGATAAAGGCTCCTTGAGGGGGAATCCCTACCGTCTTCTGCGTGATAATGACAAAACTAGTTTGCAAATATAAGATAAGACAACAAGAAACGTAAGAGTCATGAAACTCAGATAAAGGTAGAAATCTAGAAAAAGGGATAGAGTGAGAAAGTGATTTGGAAAGAAAGAGAAATAGAAAGAAAAAGACTGCTCACAATTACTTTTACACCTCTGTTATTAACAAGAGAACAATTATTCTAAGCTTCTACCGGCAGTAGTAACACAAGTTTGTGGACGGGTCTATCAAGGTAACAAGGTTTCTTCAGACGTTTACCATTACTGTCCAGAGCTCCATCAGTCATGAGGAGCTTTACCTTTCTAACACGTCCGTCTTGACTAGGAAAACTTCTGCTACCCTTGCTAGAGGCCACTGGACGTCTGCAGTCTCCTTCACGATGACTACATCGCTGATGGCCAGGTCTCGCTGCATTCGCGTCCACTTCTGACAGGGCTGTAACTGCTGGAGGTACTCTCGGTGCATAATTCTGGATGACGTCATCCATGAATGCTCTGTAGTCTCCACCAAATTTGGGTTCTTCCGCAACCTCCCAGGCAGCTGCTTCCATCTCTTCAAGGGAAGTGGCTTGTTGAAGGAAAGGTTTGGCTTTGCAAACTTCGGAGGCAATGGCATCTCATAGTGGCCATTGTCACATCTGCGGGTACCACTCTCCAAGATCTCCTTGAATCCCATCTCCTCCACGGAGTACCGCTCACCATCTGCAGTTAAGTCCTTGAAGCCATCTTTCGGAAACTGGATGCTTTTCTCAATGTCCATTATCTCCTTGGCCTTACTCTCATAGGCAAACTCTGGCTGCATCTCAATTGCAGATATCCTATTGCAGATCTGAACACCATCCTCCTGCACCGACGTCTGGCAGACATTGCCAACTACTCCCATCCAAGTGCTGTCTTAATGGCATACGGGTCATCTTCTCCTCCTGCTATCACCTCTCGAGGGCGGATGGCTCGGGGACAGTTATTTCCAATTAAGAGCGATACCTTGACACTCCTGTTGTATGGCATCAACTCATGAGCAACTGGCTCAAGATGAGGCCACTCCTTCAAGCCTTCACTCCTTGGGATCTGGGTTCTGCTAGCTGGAATAGACTCTCTAGAGAAGCACGGGTGTAGGTCAATCTCATTCTCCCTATTGAAGTCCAGCACCTGCAAACCGCTCACCTTCATGCTCCTGACGTTGGCCGTTGCGTGCATGATGGTGAGCCCGAGGGTAGTATCAGTTCCCTGTACTCCTAACTGCTCACACAGTTCGTCCGAAACGAAGCCTACATTACGCTGATCATCCTTGCACCTCACCCAGTCTGGCACAATCATACAGTGCTCCTGTTCATCTTGGTCTTGAGGAGCGCAGACATTGGTGTATTTGGATGCGGCTTCCTCGGGTGGATTTATCTGGTTCTCGGTTGGCTGATGCAGACAGGCAAGGGGGCACCCTTCACAAATCTTGCAGACCTTCCTCTCAGTGCAGTCCTTGGCTCCATGACTGTCAGCAACGCCGCTAAATACGGGTATCTCCAACTTTGGAACTTGACTCGCAACAGCAAGTCTCTGCGTTAGCACGTTTTGTTGCACATGGGCCATGGACTCTGCCATCGTTTCAAAACCTGTCTGGTTAGAAGTTCTATCAAGAATAGGTGTTGTTGCGCCAACTGCCAATCTATGGATGGAATCCCCTGGCTGTTCCTTTGGCAATTTGACATGTTCGATGACAGCTTCAGAGCTGTCACTCTCTTCCTCTCTTTCTAATCTATTTATTTTGTCAGCCGGCTTCTTTCTCAGCGGACTCAGCTTCAGCTGTATGAGCTTTCGTTTCTCATTAGCAATTAGCTCTTCTAGTTGCTCAACCTTTAGAGCATCGAGCCTGTCCTCCTCGTCCATGATAGCTAGTTCTAACCTCATACTCTCAATAGACATCCGTAAGCTCGCTACACGTGTAGCCTTCATGATGACTGCATCATGTTGTCCTGCTTCCACATCGCTCTTGGTGAACTTAACACCAGCCAGACTTCTAGCCTTCGATGTGGGATTCCTCTCTGTCGTCGTTTCACGTTGCACTGCAGGCTCTGATAAAGGCATGACTTCAGGCCTTTATAAACCTAGGTCTGCTTACAAGTTCATTAAACGGCTGCAAAAAGTCTTATTGCTGTTCGATTGTCATTCGAACTTCATTCGTTATTGTGGAACTTCGCTTGTTATTCGACTTCGAATAACAGGCAATCGATTGTTATTGTGGCTGCCTTCATAAATCTTTATATGAAGGAGTTTCGTCTAACAATAAATCCAACTGTTGTTATTCACAAGGCACACCGATGAAAATTAACACTGGAAACAATTTGCTAAAGTCCAACCAACTTCTGTTTATTCAGCAACTCGTAACTTCACTTTCATATCTTCGGTACAACCTTCAGGTTAATTACTATCTCCGGTAAACCTTCAGATAACAATCTGTAATGATAATAAACAAACAAACAAATAATGAATAAATGTTTCAGCATGTAAGCATATAAAAACCCTATAGCTAAATTAAAGATACTGATTACAACACATTAATATATGATGCAAGATTAAAGTTAAACTGGATTAAATATCTATGTGAACACACCCTGCATTGAAACTATGCAGTAAACTATTAAACAGTACACACAAGCAAAGGTACATGAGTGTGAACAGGGCCGCATTCAGATGCGGTTCGTCACTTAAGTTCCTGTGCTAAATAACTAACAAAGAAAATTGTTTCTTTCCTAAACACTTAGTTTTGCTCTAAATTCGACATGAACTATATATAATAAACAAGTTATCATCTACATAGTAGCAGAATATTTGCTACTTTGAAACACTAAAATGTACTGTAACTTCTGCTTACAAAGACAAAGAACTCGGCTTTCTACACTATACATTATACACACTCATCTCTTTGTCTACTCCTAAAAGCTAGGTACAACATCTAACATCATCTTTACGAAACTCCTATAAAATTCTACCAAACTCAACTGAGATTATATTAAGATACATCCTAGCATTCTAGTATATATCAAATAACATATATAGAAATAGATATCGTATTCTTACCGAATTGGGCCTGTAGTTTGTTCCACAAAATAACTAAAAACTTTCTGCTGCAATGTTATGTAACTCGGACCTTACTGCATCACTTCGACATTCAGAATGACTGGGGTTTGCTTCTCCCAGAACATAGGTGGAGAAGAACAAAGAACTTCCTGTCTCTGTGACTAGTAGTATAATCTTAAAGTAAACAATAGCCCCCAAGATATGCTGGTAGGCATATTAAGACACTGGTAGTCTCATAATAAGACTCTTCAAACTATATAAGAAATGCACATTTCTTCACTACATACTGATGTAGTGACACCACCTCTCCCCTGTTACATTTAAGTTCTATTCTTGACTCGAACAGAAGAGAGTTTACACAGGTGAACATGTGAGGAAAGTATTTATTAAAAGGCATGAGTGCGCCCTCTGACTGAATATACATTATAGTACACTGTCGCTCATAAAGGTGGAATATTTTTTTTTTTACCCCAATTCATGGAATTATTTTAAAAATTATTTAAAAATAATAGATCTAGATAATAGTATACATTCTCAGATTTTATTGAATAATAATTTGCCAATGTGTGTTTCGGGTGACTGCTAAAGCATGTGTATGCTACTATGCTTATCAACTAGGGGACCTACGCCCTTAAGTCATAAATGACAGTAATGAGGATTGATGCCCCACAAAAGGGCACTAATATAGCACATCGACACGGTTTTGATCCTGGGGCCTCACAGTTACGAAGCCATTGCGTTGTCACTGAACCATGACTGTACGCAGCGGGGGCTAGGGTAGGGGGCAGTTTCCATAAATAAAAAATACAAACAGAAAATGCAATAAATTTTCAATAATTTATTACATTTTACCCCGATTCCCAGCATAAACAAATCTTCTGTGTGCCCATTCCTTGAGCCATAATGCATGGCCGTCCAGAGGATTTGTTTATGTTGAGGACCGGGGTAAAATGCAATAAATTATTGACAATTTATTGCATTTTATTTATTGAAGCGCGGAAGCTTTTACGTTTCATTAAATCAATAGAGAAAGAAAGAAGGACCCCAAGGAAGAACAGTAGTGTTCTATAAACACTGCTGAATTGGGCTATCCACCGTTTCGTTAAATTATTAGAGAAAGAAGACGATTCGTTGTACCATTCTCGACTCTTAAAGGTAATACAAAGTTTTGATATGGGGTCATGAATTTGGTTCAAATGAACATATTGGAAGCATATGCGATCCTACAATATTCAGTAATCGTTGTCGCGGTCGAAATCGAGTCTAAGTTATGAAATTGTAAATAATAAAAATGTTATGTTGTATAGCTCCCTCTCAAGGTCAAGAAATTAATTAATAAAAAAATAATGTTTCTTGACTAAAATCGACCAATTAGCTATTCCCGTTCGGAAATGATATACCACAACTACATATTCTGAGATTTTCTTGGTCGCAGCTACTATTGTATGGCCGTATGAGCTAATTGAAATTCATCAAAATTTACCGGGAGCACCGGTAAATATTTGTATTCAAATTCTCTCGAAAGCAGAAGTGTTTTAGGGGCTAACATTTCTAGTGCTTTTAATACATCCGCAGGGGCATCCAAATATATCGAAATTGTAAAGAATTACTATCCACTCATTTTTCAAAATTTCCCAAAACTTTGTAATACCTTTAATCCTTGTCTGAATTCAGTTCCCTCCCCCCCCCCTCCCGCGCGAAGCGCGAAAGCTTTAACGTTTCATTAAAATCATTTAAGAAAGAAGACGATTCGCTGTACCGTTGTTGTCTCTTAATCCATGTCTCAATTCAGTTCCCCCCCCCCCCTCCTGTGCGAAGCGAGGAAGCTTTGACATTTCATTAAGTTATTAGAGAAAGAAGACGATTCGTTGTACCGTTTTCGACTCTTAAAGAGAAGGTTGAGTTCTGGGAAGAGGTGAAAAATTATTTGTGAGCATTACTCATTCTTATTATGCAAGTGTGGAAGAACATCAGTTAAGACATGTTCCCTGAAAAGCATGGCTCTTCAAATGCCTTCATATTCTAAATATGCATGTAACATCGTAAAAATCGGGGGGCCGGCTTTTTACGCCACGTGTTCGTGTAGTCCCATATAAATCTTTCTGTGCCAGTGTTTGTAACTTTACCAAGACTTGGCCAAATTTCTTATCATTTTGATTATTCCAGAACCTTGCAATACACACAAATTCTTATATGCTAGATGATGAACCTTTTCTGGTCGGTTCCACACCGTTTCTTTCACAATGCAATCGCATGACCAGAACTCAACTTCATCTTTAATCCTTGTCTGAATTTCAAAACTGTTTTTTGTCTGCTTCTTTTTCTTCCTACGTCCTCTTCCTTTTCTCTCCTCTCTTTTTTTGGATCAGTTGAATATATTTTGCTACCTTGTCCGCCCCCGGAAACTCAGGGGTTTAAGGCAATAAATTACGGTCAGATAAGCATTCAGGGGCCCGCCTTAGGGCCCCTGGTGGGGTCGAGTGTGCGGAAACCCCGGAATATCAGGGGTTTTAGGCATTTCATTCATTTTCATTTCATTTTTATTTTTCATTTCCAACAAAATATAATACATAATAACGAATACAATGTAAAATGTATACAAAACATAGTTACATTTGTAATAAACAATTTATACATTTTAGTAAGACAAAAAATGAATTTTAAAATTTAACTGCAATTATATTTTGAGGAAATGGAGAGGTCCACTGAAAAGCAAAGCTTGTAAATGTGGACCCCTCAGATAATAATGAGTGTGAACAAAATATGGAATACATAATCAATGAAAGAAGAATAGTGGCCAACAGAGAACATTTATTAAAACACGTATTGACTGTAAACAAGAAGACGTAACAAATTACATGACGAAGAAAGAACAGAAAAAAGAAGAAAGAAAAAAATGAAAAAAATGTGGGCTGCGTTTGGAGGGAAGGAGAGGAGAGAAAAGGAAAGTTGTAGAGATCGAGCACGAAATAGGGAGCGCACAAAATCCTTGAGATAGCTGAAACAAAAAGAGCAAGAACATGATGGCAAGTAGTTTTTTTTTTTTAGATGGGCTGCAGAAAAGAGGTAAAGAAAACAAAATTGGGAAGGAGATGTTCTATCACAATAAATTTCTAAATTTCGCATTTGATTACGGTCAGATGAGCATATTTTTATACCTTATTTGTGACGCTGGCAGAACACTGATTGGCGTGAGGTCCAGCGGGCGGAGCCCCAGAGGCTCAATGGTTTTAGGCACTAACTTACGGTCAGATGAGTATCAAGGGGCCCGCCTTATGGGCCATTGGTTGGGTCCCGGGGGCAAAGCCCCCGGAAGCTCAGGGGTTTTAGGCGTTTAATTACGGTCAGATGAGCATTTTTTTATACCTTATTTTGTGGTGACACTGGCAGTTAACTATTTTTTCTTTCTTGCTCTCTTTTTTTCTATTTCTCTTTAATATTCTTTTTCAAAAAAGTGGTGGGGGGGGGGGGGGGGGGGGGGGAGCTGGAGGTCCCGAACCCTGCCGTTCCACGGGCCCTGACATGTAGGCATCTCAAGAAGCATATTTCTTGCCTGGCTGTAAATTTAGGAATTTGTCATTTTACAACAAACGCATAAAAAGTATTATTTACTAAAAAATGAGGAAAAATCTCTGAAAATTGTGTCATTTCAGCATTATATGTAAACCACCGTTATGGAATTAGAAGGAAAAAAAAAAACGTTTAAATTTGATTTCCCCGATCAGTACGCCAGTGCCCCCCCCCCCCCTGATCTACACTTTGTTGCCGGAAAATCGCAAATGATCTCCCCTTCCTTTCTTCTTTCTCTTTATTTCTTTCCCTTTCTCTCTCTTTCCCTTCTCTTCCTTCTCTCTCTTTTAGGTTGCTGGGGGGTGGGGGGAGGCAATGTCCTTTCGGTCCCCACCCTTCTCCATATGTTGTTGGTGGGATTAACCGGGAAAATTGCAACTGATACCCCCTTTTTCCTCTCTTCTTCCTCCATTTTCCTTCCGTTTATCTCCTCTTTTCCTTTTTCTTTTCATTTCCTCCTTCTCTCTTATTTTTTTGATTGGGGGGGGGGGGGGGGGAGGCAACAGCCTGGGAGGCGAGGCCCTTTCGCCCCCCCCTCGATCTCCTTCTTCCCCTTTCTTTTCTTCTTTTTTTTCTTCCCCTTTCTCTCTTTTCCCTTCTTTTCTTCTCTCTCTCTCTCTCTCTCTCTTTTCTCCTTTTTTGTTTCCTTTTTTTTTCCTTCTTTTTCCCCCTTTTTCCCCCCTTTTTTCCCCCCCTTTTTCCCTCCTTTTTCTTTCTTCTTTTTTTCCCCAGGGGGCGGGGGGGGGGGGGGGGGCGGGCCCCCGGGACCCCCCCCCGGATCCGCCACTGGCCTATTGGACCATCAGAAACATTCGAGCTATTGTGTCTATTGGTTTCGATAGGGAAAGTGAAATATTGGACCCACAGAAACCAATAGAAAATATCTATTGGACCAACACCAACCCACAGAAAAAAATGCTGATGGACCAACAGAAAGCTTCTATTGGACCAACATCCACCCACGTCTTCTATGGGTTTCTGTTGGTCCATTAGATATTTTCTTCTATGATGGGTTTCTGTAGGTCCATTAGAATTTTCTATGGGCTTCTAATGGTCCCATATTCTGAATTCCCTATTGAAACCAAGAGGCCTATTGTTTTTAATGGTTCAATAGTCCATTAGCTCTATGGTAAATCAATAATGATAAATCAAAAATCCATTTTAGCAACTGTCCACCAAAAAGGTATATTTAATCTCAATTGCATTAACTCCATCACAAAGTTCACTTGAAGTGAGTTTAAGAATATCCTTTATTCAACTAAAGGCTTGTACTATTCCATATAATATACATACATGTTGTTTCTGGTTAGTAATCATTATAATCAATACCGTATATATTATTGCTAAAACGTGAATGTAATTGTAACATGATCAGACAAATAATCTATTGTCATTAATTACCGAAAGAAAATAAAAATCGTAAAATTGATGTGCATTGTCATAGGTTGCTTAACAAATTATGATAAATGTATTTTTCTGTGAAAGCGTGTAAAGAAATCATGAATATGCATGAGATAGATGTAGCTGTGGTTTCTATTGGACCTATTGGTTTTTATTGGTCTCTATGTTTCTTAATTCTATTGGTCATATGGGTTTCTTTTGGTCCCATTGGGTTTTATTGGTCTCATTGGTTTTCTATTGGTCCTATAATTGTTCCTATCGGTCCTATTGGTTTCTATTGGTCTTATTGGTTTCTATTGGTCGTATTGGTTTCTATGGGTACT